AAGTTTCAGCATTGGAGGATATGGATACAGCAGCGAGTAGGTTGGTAAATCTTCTATATACTCCTACTCACACGTGCATCAACTATATATTGATAGACCAATTAAGTCGATAATTGAATGGTAACTGTAATTAGTTAAAGATAAATATAAGGAAAAACAATGTGGAGAGATGAATTTATTAGAGATGTATATAGTCACAGTCGGGGAGCTTCCTAATAATCATGTCTATTCTATTTCAACAGTTCTCTTTTATTTCAAGAATTACTGCATGACTAAATCTCTTCTAATTAAAACACGTCTCGAGCATGATTTGGTATTTACTTTCATCGTTGTAATCTTTCATGTTTAATGACTCTTTTATTATAATAGTTTTTGTCTTAAATGAATGACTTTAGACTATACGAACTCTTATGATTTGAATATAAGGTGAAGATAAATTTTAACGAATCATTGTTCGTGTAAATTTTTATTTTGAATTCTTGTATCGTTATCTGCAACGATTGCGTTATAACATAAAAGAAACAACAGATAAAGATAATATTTGAGTGTAGTTATTGAGTGTTCCTATCAATATCATACTTTGAAAGATGAAAAAAATGTCGATATATCTATGATATACAAAAAGGAATTCTTTTTTCTTTTTAGATTCAAATTTGTAACTATAATAATATGAATAAACAACAAATGATAACAAAATCTATGTAAAGAATAAAGCGCGTAAATTTGTTGATAATCAGTGACATCTTGTTCTTTTAGTATTGACCATCCGATACGTAGTTATTAAAAACTAATAAATAAATATTCTATTTTTGTACATCATGAACATTCTATGATTTATGAACAGGACTTCTGTTTGATTTTTCCTATTACTTTATTTTCTTTCTATAGATATTATTTAAAAATCATCTGTTTCATAAATGACTGTCTATAATCTTCCAGACGATATAACATTTACTAAAACAATTATTGAACCAGGTCAAAGTCTTTATGCACCTAATGAAGGTATATAACTAAATCGTTTTTGTTTCTTTTTTTTGTTTTTAAATTAAAATTCTATGAATTGATCTAGGATCAAATTGTAAAGTAATTATTAAATTTTCACCAACTGATTATGCACTTAATGAAAATCTATATAATGATCTTCTTCCTCTAAATGAAGAAATTAATATTAATCTTGGATTTTATTCAACAATAATAAGTAATTATGTACACAAATGTTTAATAACAATGAAACAAAATGAATTATCTCAATTAAATTTTAATTATTCTTCTAATTTGTAAAAAAGAAAATAACAAAATATTTACTTTTAGTTTCTTTAAAATAAATTTCTTTTTCTTTTTTTTGTAAATTTAATTTTAGAAATGAAAATCAAACAATTACAATTTTTATTCATTTAATTTCATTTGAACGTTGTCCAGAAATTTATTCAATGTCAATTGATAATCTTTATAATTTTGCTTTAAAACATAAAGAAAATGCAAATAAATTTTTTCATGAAAAAAATTATTTTCAAGCTTTTAAACTTTATCATCGTTCATTATGTTATATATTAAATTTTATTAATGAACAACCAACAGATGAACATAATCAAATTTTAGAAAATTTTAATCAACTTATTTTATCAATTTATTCAAATATATCGGCATGTCAATTAATTTATGGAAATAATTTAAATGTTATTGAAAATTGTTCATCAGCACTTGAAATTAATCCAAAATATGTTAAAGCATTATATCGTCGTGGTTATGCTTATGCTAATTTAAATGATTATGAATTAGCATTAAAAGATCTTCAATTAGCAAATAACATTCAACCAAATGATGAAAAAATAGAAAATTTATTAAAAACAACAAAACAACGTCTTGAAGAATATAATAAAACATTAGGAAAATCATTAAAAAATTTTTTTTGAAAATCGATAAACGAGAAATTTAATTCTGTTTATCTTTCATTTTTTTTTCTGTATTCTGTCAGATAAAATCTTTATTTTTTCAGATGTTTTCTATTTGGATTTTTTTTATTATTATTACAAATGTTATTTGTGAAGATTTTTATTCATTTACAGTCAAAGATTGGCAAGGAAATGATGTTTCATTAGAACAGTATCGTGGAAAGGTAAATCAATTTTGATGTTTTATGCCAAAAATTAAAAAAAAAAAACTAATAAATGTTTATTTTATTTTAGGTTTCATTGGTTGTTAATGTAAGTTCTATTTTTGTGTACTTTACTATTCACAAATTATGTTTAATAAAAACTTCAAAACGATATTTATTATTAGAAGAATAGAGAAGAGACATGATCAATGAGAGATTCAATCCTAGCGAGGGTTGTCGATATTTTGGAAAGAACTGAAAATTTAAAAATTATCGTAATGTTAGAAATAGGGACCGATAGAGAAGAACCAAACTCACCATGGACCGATCCTTCTCAATCCTATTCAATTCTTAACGACATTGTCTACTTATTTTTATTTCACTTTCTGTTAGAGAAAAGCAAATAGTATTTCAAAATTCAGTGATTGTCCGAAGTTATTACGAAGCTGCAAAAAATCGGACATTTTAGGAGGGGAAAGTTTTTCTCATATTACTCCCTAATCTCGGTATCGAACTTACAAGGAAACATTCCCAAATAATCTACTCCGTTTGTCTTCATATATTGTCGATATGTAGAAGATCACTGGAGTAGCATAACCTCTAAAAGTTTTCTGTTCTTGCTTAGATTTTGTTGAGATAACTACTTTTTAATAGATTCATCCTGTAGAAGTCTAGTTTTCGAAAACTTAACTTTGGAATTTTGACCTGAAACTTTGTACACATAAAGGTCTTGGTTAGATTATCTTATATACAAATAATATAAGGATATATTGAGAAATCTATAGCTTGACAATGTGACATCCTTTACACGTACAAAGTCTCAGATCGAAATTCCAAATTAATGTTTGCTCGAAAATTGGACACCTGCGGGATAAATCTACTGAAAAGTTGCCATCTCAATCAAATCTAAGCAAGAGGAGAAAACCTTTAGCGGTTATGCTACTCTATTAATCTCCTACATATCGTATGAAGCTTAGATTTATTTGCTACTATTGTCCGTAAATTTGGAATGTCTTACTTTGATACTGCGATCTACTTAATAGTGAATATGCCTTCTTTGTTAAATATTCATATAAACATGGATAAAATGTTTTATAGGTCTTGTTAAGATGGAATACAGATCAAACTTTTGTTTGATTTGGTTTTTATATATACCGTATCAGTTAAATAGAGATATCTATTCTTTGTTACTGTAAAGAACTATATGTGGTTATTCGTAAGGATTGATCAATTTGAAGAAATGGAATTCGTTACTGTAGAATTATTAATTTTGCACATATTGACCAAAATTAATTATTCAATTCCAATTTTTTCAAGATGCATTTCAAAGTCAAAAACCAAAATAGGGATTGGCGCATCCCTAGTTACTCAGAGCGATTATTCCGACCGTCGGACATGGTATATTAGTTCTACCGTTTTACGAGCTTACGAAGAATAGTCACATAATGACACTATTTTTTATCATTTACGACGCCGCTTCTTAAACCTGAGTATTAAGAAGAGTAGAACTATCAATATCTTTTGTTTACATATCTATCATATGACATAGATCATTCAAGAAATTCTGATATTTTCAATTGGCAACAGCTGAGAATTTGGTTAATAAGAAATACTATTTTTAATGTTTAAACTAAATATTTGTAAAATATTTACAAAAGTAGATTCATAATAAAAGATAATTTGTGTTTTGACAACTGATTATCAGTACAAAGTTCTCATTTTCTTTCAGAATATATATATATATTTGTTTAAATATAAATCTCGTTTAATCAAAAATAGGTAGCTAGTGAATGTTCATTTACTGATAGTCATTTTGAAGCTCTTGTTGGCATTCAACAAAAACTTAATAACGGTGGTCGAGATATTTTTCAAGTACTTGCTTTTCCTAGTAATCAATTTGGATATCAAGAACCTAAAGTAAATATACTTTTTATCAAATATTTTATTTTATTTTTTTTCAATTTTATTTATTAAGGATGATGCACAAATTCAATCATGGGCTCAATCTATGTTTGATGTTAATTTTCCCATTTTTGCTAAAGGTGCTGTTATACGACTAAATGATGATGATGATGATGATGAAGCATTACCAGATGTTTGGAACTTTTTAAGTGGTAAAGAAATTTATCTTATAATAAATTTGTTTTAATTGAGATTTGTGTTTTTTTTTAGAAAAAACTGAACCACCATCTTGGAATTTTTGGAAATATTTAATTGATCCAAATGGTAAAGTTATTAAGGCATATCCACCAAATATACCTATTCGTCAAATTTATCCTGATATACAAAAATTATTTGTTAAACATAAATTAATTGATCAATCAGAATTATAAGCAAATATATCATTATTTATGGTTATTTTTCATTTTTTTATACGATTGAAATATAAGATATGAGTGTTATATTTATATTCTGTTAGTTGTTATTATTTATATTTCATTTGCAATATATTATTCATGCATGCATTCGTGTGAACACTTTTTTTATATTCAAAGATCGTCCATATTTGCTGTTGTTTGAAAAATATTAGATCTAACATGGATTTTTTTTTCTGGATAAAATTAATAAATATAAAAATAGATTTTGTTCTTCATTATTTATTTTGATATTTTAACAGGTTTAAATCTTTTCATATATATATATATATGTATCATCAAATTTATTTCAATGAATTGGTTAATAAATGTTATAAATAATTGATAACGTATGAAGTTGATGAATTATATTCGAAACCTTTGACTAAACTAGATGATTGGTAATGGATTAGATTTTGATTTAATATCTTGTATAGTTCATTTTTGTTTTTACTTTATTATTAACAATTGAAAGTTATTCTTGCTTTTCTAATGCTTATTTGTTTTTTTAAATGAACTTCTTTAGATTAACAAGTTTTCTTTTATCGATGATGTCTTCGAATCCTACTAGTCATTTTGTTATTATACCTAACCGTCCAATTGCTCAAGAGAATGGTGAAATAAATCAAGGTTCATTAAAACTTCACTATTGGGAATGGCAAGGTCATCAACCTACTATACTTTTTTGTCATGCTGCTTCATTTCATGGTCGATGTTAGGATCCTATTATTAATGAAGCTTTACATGGTTTTCATGTAATTGCTTTAGATTTTCGAGGTCATGGTCGATCACAAACACATCCTCCACCTTATCATGTTCGATGGCATGGAGAAGATGTTTTACAATTTATTGAAACACTCAATCTTAATAAAGATAATCTTATTGGTATTGGTCATTCTATGGGTGGATATGCATTAATATATGCTGCAGCAATAGCATCAACACGTTTATTTCGATCTTTACTTCTATTTGATCCTGGTATTATTCCTCGTTTATTATATGGTATTGGTGATAAGAGACATGATTCATTAGAATATATACTTCGTCGAAAAAATCAATAGTTATCTGTTGAAGATATGTTAGAAAAATTAGAAAAACGTGAACCATTTTCACGATGGTCAAAAGATATTCTTCGAAATTATTGTACTTATGCATTAGATGAAAATTCTAAACTTATATGTAATTCAGAAGGAGAACATTCTATGTATCAATCAAGTTTACAAACTAATTCAAATATTTATCCATTTATTGAACAATCAAAATTTATTCAAGATATTCCAATACATATCGTAAGATCATCATTTCCATTGATTGTAGGTCAATTTGATACATCACCAACAGCACCTGATCTTGTAAAATGGTTTCAAAAAGGACGAGATACTCAAATGAAAAATGCTACACATTTATTTCCAATGGAACAACCAGAGTTAATAATTGATTTTGTGAAAGAAATGATTAAAGATAATATACGTTCGCAACTTTAAACAATATAGAAATTCCAATTTTGACTGAACTAGTTTTTTCGATGAAATCAGAATTGGATTAGAAGTAATTTGATTAAGCCATTTACCTCTCAAAAAAGAAAAGAAGTCAATTTTCATAAAAAAAAACATGCAAATTGAAATGAATGCACGGAAAAATAGCCCGAAGTATGATCTATTATAAATGACATGATTTTTTATTTGACATTATGTTTTCTCCCAAAAAGGTTCATCATTTTCTGCTTGAAAAATATAATTTCTTCAAATAAAGTGAAAAATCTTTTTCTTTGTTTATGCGTTTTTGATCACATATTTCAGAATACTTTTATAATTAGAGCGCCATTTTTTGAGATACTGAACCTTCCTTTCCTGTTAAAAGGTAATAGTTTAAAAAAAGGGTTCTGTCTTGCCCATGCATCCTTACATGCTCTTTCAAACAAGAATAAACAATTAAGTCAATGGAATGAAGGTCTACAGAAAATTTTCGGTTGCTAAATGAACTATTTTTGACTTTTATTAGTTGGATATCTTCCGAAAATATCATGATATAAGACTAAAAATTTTATCATATTCTAAACTTGGATTGTTGAAAGATTTCGGGTCAATAAGTTATATATAATAGAAACTGTAACTTGTCTGATATAAGAAATGAAACAATCTTTTCATTTATCTTCAACTTATTTTAATTTACTTCTAGTCTAATTCAAATTATGTCCAGATAAAATAAAAATTTTGACTTTTGTCCGAATATATTCATAGTTTTAATCAAATTTTAATTTTGATTGTAACATATATATGTCATCATGACGATGCATTTTGTTTTTTTGCAATTCTTTTCTTCCAATGACAACAATGATTTCAAAAATAAAAATATCATATAAACAAAGAATTATTTTGGTTGATAATAAACACATTTCGAATATATATTAAATTTTTTCATGACAGAAACAATGTTTAATAATTAAATTTGTGGTTTTTTTTTAAAATAGAGTGTATTTTTTTTGTCCTTCTGCACTGCTGTAAAAGTCGTCTATTGATAACTTTCAAAGTTATTGTTTTCTTTTTCAGATTACATGCTATTTCGTTTTTCACGAATATTTCAACGTATGATGTCAACCGATCCCACTAGTCGTTTTATCACTTTATCTAATCGTCCAATTGTTGATACTAATGGTAAAACTGTTCAAGGTCCACTTAAACTTCACTATTGGGAATGGCAAGGTCATCAACCTACAATACTTTTTTGTCATGCTGCTTCATTTCATGGTCGATGTTATGATCCTATTATTAATGAAGGTTTACATGATTTTCATGTAATTGCTTTAGATTTTCGAGGTCATGGTCGATCACAAACACATCCTCCACCTTATCGTTTTCGATGGCATGGAGAAGATGTTTTACAATTTATTGAAACACTCAATCTTAATAAAGATAATCTTATTGGTATTGGTCATTCTATGGGTGGATATGCTTTAACTTGTGCTGCAGCAATAGCACCAAGGCGATTATTTCAAGCATTACTCTTACTCGATCCTGTTATTTTTCCTTCCTCACTATATCAAGATGATAGAAGTTATTCGTCTTATTTAGACTATATTCTTCGCCGAAAAAATCAATGGTTATCTGTTGAAGATATGTTCGAAAAATTAGAAAAACGTGAACCATTTTCACGATGGCCAAAAGAGACTCTTCGTAATTATTGTACTTATGCTCTTGATAAGAATTATAAACTTGTATGTGCACCTGATGGAGAAGCATCAATATATAGAACAAGTATAGAAACTGATACAAATATTTATCCATTTATTAAAAAATCAAAATTTATTCAAGATATTCCAATACATATTGTAAGAGCATCATTTCCATATAGTATAGGTCAATTTGATACATCACCAACAGCACCTGATCTTGTAAAATGGTTTCAAAAAGGACAAGACACACAATTAGAAAATACTAAACATTTTTTTCCAATGGAACAACCACAAATAGTAATTGATCTAGTAAAAAAATTAGTGGAAGAAAATAAAAAACTATTCTCACATCTATAATTGCTAACAATGCAATAATACATTTTATGCAAACGTCATCATGACATGACACTGCATTTTTATTCAACGTATAAAAAGCGATGTAATGCTTTGATTTTTAGATATATTAGTAAAATAATACAAGAAATGACATCAACAAAACCGATTGCAGTAGTTATTGGTAAGAGACAATTGAAAAATAGTTTTTTTTTGTCTTGAATTAATATTCATTATAATTATAGGTGTAGGTCCAGGTTTAGGAGCAGCATTAGCCAAAAGGTATAATCTTATTTAATAAGCGATGCAAATGCCTTGAGAAAAATGTCGAACTCTGTTACATCGTATTGGTAACTTCTAAACCAATGAAATTTTCTTTTGGTGGAAAGAAAGAGTACTGTCTAGACTACAAATTTTATACGAGGTATATTTTTCCAGAACGAATTTAAGAAGGAAGAATAGCTAAAAACCAAACACTTCTAGAGAAGTTCTTGTAACTTGAAAAGTTTTTATTTCTCAATTATTTTGAGCTACATGGACTAAATTCTAATAAAAAAATTTACTAAAATATAGCATATCAAAAACCTAATCGATGTCTGCTTTGGTAGAAATTTTTAGATTCATTCTTGGCTCTTTAATCAAAAAAAAAAATTTGAAAATTAAAATATTTTATAAAATAGAGTTTTCCAAGAACAATTAGTTTAGAAGAACATCAATCATAATCTCGAGAAACCATGCATGAACTGAGTTCTTTGTTCAAAATATATCAGATTATAGATATTTAACAGAAAAGAAAAAACAATTCAAAAAATATTTTTCATTGTTACAAAGCGATCAAGCAGTAAAAATGACCAAAATATAGTCTCTTTCAAAAAGAACTATATTTTGTTAGAAAAACCAAGAGTAAATTTAACTTCCGATACATCATTAGAAAGAGCACTTTTTACGCTATTAAAGTCATGATTAAATATTTTTTCTTTTCATTCCACTTTTGACATAAAGAATTTAACGAAAAATAGAAAAATAATGTTGCGTGATGATGAAGTTGCAAGAACTTATTTTTAAGAAGTATTTCCTCTTTCGTAGATTCATTTTGAAAAAAATATGTCTCGTACAAAATATATAGTTTAGATATTACTCTTTCTAACAAAAGAAAAAAATTTCATTGATTTAGAAGTTAACAATGTGATCTAATCGAGTATGACGTTTTTCAAAGATTTTTCCATCGCTTATTATAATATCTGATTAATATCAATGTCTTTTTGTTTCTAAAGATTTGCAGTTGGCGGTTATTCAGTTGGTCTTATTGCAAGAAAAGAAAGTAGTTTACAACCTGTCCAAAAAGAACTCGAACAACTAGGTCATACAGGTGTCTAACTTTTATTTTTATCATATATATATATATTGATATTAACGTAAATCTTATATGTTCTAGCTTTGAGTGTTACAGCTGATGCTGGTAACGTATCATCATTACAGAATGCTTTTAATACAATTCGAACAAAACTTGGAAATGATCCTGAAGTATTATTATATAATGCTAGTGGATTTGCTTATAGTAATTTGAATACTTTTTTTTTATTTGATTTTTCTCATCAAATATAATTTATTCTATATTAAAGAAAGTATTTTGGATTTGAAACCTGAAGAACTTCAAAATTCACTCAACATAAGTGTTGTGGGTGCTTTAGTTGCTAGTCAGGAAGTAAATGCAAATGAGAAAAAAGAAATGTGTTTTTGATTAAAGTTTTTCGTTAGGTACTTCCGAGTATGGTTAAAAATGGAAAAGGAACAATATTGTTTACTGGCGCAACAGCTAGTCTTCGTGGTTCAGCTAAATTTGCTGGTTTTGCTGCAGCAAAATTTGCTTTACGTGCATTAGCTCAATCAATGGCGCGTGAATTAGGTCCACAGGGTATTCATGTTGCTCATATAATTATTGATGGAGAAATTAATACACCGAGTCAAGTTCAACGTAAAAGTTTTCTTTTTTTTGCGGTCTAAAAAAAGTAACAATTAATCACTTGTTTAGGTCAACCTGACAGAAATATTGAAGCATTTCTTAATAGTGATGCGGTATGAATTATTTAGCATCTTAGGTTTTTTTTTCTCTTATTGAATGGAAATTTTTATTTGTTGTAGATTGCTGAGACATATTGGCAATTACATACTCAACCTCGTTCAACATGGACACAAGAACTTGATCTTCGTCCTTCAGTGGAGAAATTTTAAAACAGAATGCTTTTTTTGCAAAAAACTGTCTTACTCTTTTTGATTATATCTATCATATTGTCTCTTTATGAAATAACTATTGTAACAATAATTCGTTTGATTACATAAACAAGAAAATAGTTTCTAGCAAGCCAAGTATATTACGTTTCTTTTTTGTGTTTCATATAAAAGTTAAAATATCGAAAGTTAGAATAGTTTTGTGTCTTATCCGAGTATTGACAGTATTACAAGACGGCGAATGATGTGTGCCTGCAAGCCATAATAAAAATGCAATATTGTAATATTTGTCAGATCTAATAATTTATTAAAAAATTAGTTAGGAATGTTTATTTTATGATTATTCGGCAATCAATATAAGATGTCGAGGATACAAAATTAAAGAAGAATCTACTTTTCGTTTTCTCTATATATGGTTAGATAGAGCTTGACGAACTGATCATGAACATATGTGTTTCTATTGTTTTGGAATTGCTTATTAGGAAGCAATTCTCGGTTTTCTCCTATGATCTACTTTATCTCGAAAAAAAACGTCAATCTTCAATAACCGACAAAGTTTTTATTTTTTTTCATTTACTTAAAATTTCAAAATTGTTTGTTTTAGATTCAGCATCCAAAACTGAATCTAGGAAATTCATTCATGAATAGCTTTTCTAGATTCAGTTTTGGATGCTGAATCTAAAACAAACAGTTTTAAAATTTTAAGCAAATAAAAACTTTGTCGGTTATTGAAAATTGACGTTTTTTTAG